GGGACCAAGTTTTGGCACGCCCTGCCAAGTGGGTCTGAGCAAATGTGAGTTTCATTTGCTCATCTTCGACGCGACGAGCCCTTAGGGCTCTGTCGAGTTCGACAAACCATAGTAACAGGGAGTCCTCCGGGACTCCACTGTACTTGGAGATGTCGACTTTCATCACTTCGGGACGACGCGCATGCGCCGTCCCGCCCACAGCAGCATGGAATTGCTGCTGTCTCAACAGCTCCGTCTGTTGAGCACCGAGTTCTCTCAACTGCTCGGCCTGTTGAGAGCCTTGCTGGTGAAGCAAGGCTACTTTCTCCCTCTCGAGAGCAAGTTCATTGTGAATGAACTTGGCGATAGCAGCATGTTGTTGGTCTCTGTCTAGAGACTCCAACATGGTGCTGACGACGAGTTCGCCTACGGTAGAACTCATTCGTTCTACCGCACCCCATTCGATGTCACTCAAATGGGTAAACCCTTCACGCGTGGCGTGAAAGGTGTCTTCTTCATCCAACATGTTCATGTTGGATGATGTGGTCCTTGGAAGGACTACAAAGTGCTACCAGGTGTAACGGGGCACACCCTTGCGTAACTTAACGCAAGGGATTTGGGTGCCCCGACGGACGTACACGTGGCGAGCGAGGAAGCGTAGGTAGGGTAAAAGTAGAACTGTTATATTAATAAATTAAGTCTTTAAACTACTGTCTCTTCGTTTGACTTAATTCAATTATACTAATATAACTGCATGTATGGTGACGTCTCGTCACCACTCATTGCGCGCGTCTTGCGGCGATTGGTGGGTTGATATCATCACGATATCAACCAATGAACAGACCCTTTGGTCGACCCTTCAATATCACCACTTTGGTGATATTGTTTAAAGAATATCCATCTTATATTCTTTATTGTCACTTTCCTTAAGTGACAATATCATGTAACGGGCTGCCCCGTTACGCTGGCGGCTTGGACAAAGGACGCCTTTGACCTCCAGAAGGCACTTTCCCAGGCAGTGATCAGCAAAATCATCAAAAAAAGGAAGGAGCTTGAGGCAATGGACACCACTAACCTCAGCGCTAAGCGTCCTCGGACTGTCCAGCACCCAGCTGTGGAGGAGGCCGTCGCCTTCTGGGTCTTGCAGTGCCAGCACCGTGGGGTCGCTCTCACTGGAGATCTCATACGGGCCAAGGCTCAGACTTTTGCGGGATCAATGGGCGTCACGGAGGAAAACATCCGCTTTTCGAATGGGTGGCTCCACAAATTCCAGCAGCGCCACAAACTGCGAGCTGTCCGCATTCATGGCGAGAGTGGCTCAGCAGATATGGGCGCTCTAGAGGAGGGTCTTCCACACCTCAAGGCCGTGGTTGCTGGTTATACTCCACGTGACGTGTACAACATGGAAGATACTGGTAGGTCTGAGAATACAGTACAGTACTGTACTCATTGTACAGTACAGAAGCATCTCAAAGGCTCACTTTCTGTTCAGGGTTGTTCTACAGTATGACGCCCGACAGAACGATTGCCCAGCAAGAGGTCGAAGGGTTTAAAAAAGACAAGGTACATTATTGCTCTCATCTTGGTTTCCTGCGTTTCTCTGACACTAACAACTATTCTAGACGCGCATCACAGTTGCTCTCACGGCAAACGCTGATGGATCCGACAAACTCCCGCCGTTCTTCATTGGACACGCCAAAAAGCCGCGGTGTTTTGAGCGCAAGACAGCTGAGCGACTGGGCTTTCTCTACCGCAACAACAAAAAAGCCTGGATGACTGGCATACTCTTCCAGGAATGGCTGGGAGACGTCGACAAAAGTATGAAGGTAATTTGGAGCATGCCTTGAACATCATCGTTGTGGTACAGTAAATGAGGTTTGACTAACGCGTTGACCACAGCAAAGGATAGAAAAATCCTGCTTCTCATGGACAACGCTCCTTCACACATTGTTGCTGACCTGGAACTCACCAACATCACGGTCCAGGCTCTTCCTCCTAATACGACTTCAAAGGTCCAACCCATGGATGCTGGGATCATTGCCGCATTCAAGAGGCAATACCGCCGGCTGCATCTGCAGAATGCCTTGGACCGTGACGAGCGCGGAGAAACCAACCTTTACAAGGTTGATCAGCTCACGGCCATGCGTTGGTCGCTGGCTGCGTGGAGCGAGATTTCCAGTGCCACAATCGCCAACTGCTTCCGTCATACGGGACTCATGGACGGTCCGGCTCTGCCGACTGGTGGGGGTGAAAACGAAGCCGGCACTGTTGGCCATCAGGCCCAGCAGGAGGAAACAGCTGCTGCAGTAGAGGAGCAGCGCGTGAAACATGATCTTGTTTCGGCGCTGGAAAGGCTCCCGCTTCGCAATCCCATGTCGATCGCTTCTCTTTTCAATCCGGCTGAGGAGGAGGAGACGGCGCATGCGGAGCTTACCGATGCCGAAATCATCAAGCTTGTTGAGGATCCGTATGGGGAGGAGGAAGGTGCTGCTGAGGCGGAGGAGGAGGTGGAAAAGCATTCGAAGGCTGAAAAGATTGCCAGCCTTAGTCTATCCATCGCCCTTCTCGACCTTTCTCAGGAGTCCCATCGTATAGCTCACCGCACCCTTCGCCAAGTCCAAGCTGATCTCCGTAGTGCGAGCACCACTCAGGCCACACTTGATTCCTGGCTGAAGTAGTTTCCTCTCCTCTTTCCACTCCTTTCTTGCAGTGAATAACAAAAAAAAAGGTTCTGCGTACAATATTTCTGCTCACGGCGGACAAAAATATTCCCTCTGATAAGTTGTATCTGGCCCTCAGGCTATTCCGTATAACTCATTCCGTAGTCACCATAGAACGAGGTCGGTGGAGACCGAATCCTATAACTTACCGGAGGTTATTCCGTAGCCGGGGATAACTTAGCAGAGGGAAGACTGTAATGTATTGTTGAGCCGACAAATGTAGACGAAGATCAAGGTTGTCTGTTACCGTATTCGTGAGATAGCGAACGAAACGGTTGCAGAGGTCTATTCCGTGCAAGGCTCTACAGTCGTCCCTCCATATAGCGGACCAAAATGTGTGGCGTTTTTGCCTCGTTCCTTATATAAAACGCTCTTATATGGAGGGTCAATCTGAACCCATACTAAGAAATGCATCCATGGTACACTAAGTCTTTCGCTTCGAGCACTGCTGTCTAACGTTCTCGGTGATACTTGCCAGCTTCTTTGTCAATTCTTCACTGTCATGCTGTAGCCAAAGAAATGATGACAGACGGAGACAACAGTCTAGAACCTCGGATGGGCCAATCGACACATCATCGGCACTGTCACCATCATTGTCATTCCCAATCGCCTCATGCTCTATCATGTCTGAGTCGCACTCGATTGGCTCGTCGTCATCCGCACCGATGTAATCGACGACACTGATGCTGAAAGTCAAACCTTCCATGAGCTTGGTCATCTCGTCCTTAACAGATTCATCGACGCGTTTTTTTTGTAGTCGCGCAGTTGGGTGAGATCGGAACGTTACCGCCCCCACGATCGCACACTTTCTCCAGCAATTGCAAATCACTTGCTCGGGTTCCTCCTCCCAGCTTGATATAGCGAAGCGCACAGCCTCCAGGATACTTAACTTCCGGTCGGTTCTGGTGTGGATTGCATCCAGAAACCATCGAACAAATTTCTATCGATACCGCGCTTTAAATGCCCGTATAATTCCTATCAGAAAACAACACGTGAGAAATTTCTGGCCAAGTGAACATCCATTCAAACTTACCTGCGTCGAGCGGTTGCAAGTGTTGTGTCATATTTGGCGGCAGGAATGCCAGCTTGACATTGTAGCATTCAGCGGCGCCAAAGTGACACGACGCGTCGTCCAGCAGGAGAAGCACTCGCCTCCCGTGCATCTTGGCATCGAAATGCCGGAGCCACTCAGCAAACGTTGACCTGTTTTGCCACGCAGTCTGGTTGTTGAAATACAAAAACCTCATTTGCTTGGTAGTGGCTTTGCGAAATGCTCTTGGTTGCTTCGACTTGCCTATGACAACGAGATCCATCTTCTCGGTCCCGGTCGTGTTGCAGCACATTGCGACTGCGATACGATCCTTCTCTGACTTCTTCCCGTTGCGCTTGACCGTTGATAGTGTCCTGTTTGGAGGTAGGCGATAAAAGTGAGCTGATTCGTCAACATTGAACACACCTCGTGGTGAATATTGTCCAATCAGCTCTTTGATCTCCATTTTATTCATTGCGATTTGAGCGCGATCAACTGAGTCTGCATCTCCATGAAGCACATGCTGCTAGATGCCGTGTCGAGTCTTAAATTTGTGCAGCCACCCATTCGAAAGCCTCAGGTCGTTCTCGCTTATCCCTTAAGCGGCTCTGATTGAGCGACCTTTTTCTAGCAGGAGATCGTCTGTGATATTCGCTTTACCGTCATTGAGACGATAGGATGTGAAGAACGCAGTCTCAAACGCTGAAAAAGCACCTTCCGATTGCGCTTCCTGCTCGTGTCAAGGAACGTGTTGGCTGGTGCCTGACGAATCCGTTCTGCTGCCGTTGTGGAGATCCGAAGGCCGAGCTTCTCCCTGACCCAGTCTTGTATTTGGAATAGTTTTATGCCTGGTGTGCGTGTGATGTGCACCTGCACCTGCCGATTTTGCTCCATCGTCAGAACCGTTCGCTTTGACGACACGTTTAAGGTGGAACGGAAGCAAATGTGCAAAGTGGCAGGCAATGCGAGACTGTGGCAAGTCCAATATAGAGGGGAACTGGTGGTTGGTGCGCGTTGTTTTAGTTCCCTATTTCTTAAGTCTCTCATATAGAGTCAGCATACAAAAAGCAAGTGACGCAGCTTGGTACGGGACCCGAAGTTCCTAAAACAGGAATTTAACCCTCTATAGAGGTTCTTATGTGGAGGGACGACTGTATTTGTTATCTCGGTTCACCTGAACAACATCCCACTCACACGATTGTGCTCATGGGATGCAAGTCAACAGCTATCGCTATCACACGATAGAGCCTCACCATCACTTCGATCTTGCGTCACGGACTAGACTCGACTGCACCCACCTCTGAAGTGTCCCGTAGCATTGTGCCCGTCACGATACTGGCATTGCACTGCTCGACGATTTGGTCCACTCGGCTCTTGGTAATCTTAATGCTGGGCGTGATCCACGTACCACACGAGCACTGAGAGCCTGACCACTGCAGCCCTCCGAGTCGCGACTGACACTTGACGTTAGGGCAGTGGATCTTGCCCTCGGCCAGCAGCACTTCGTCCATCCACGGCAGTGTCTCCTCGAGGAAATACGACGAGCAGTCGACGTGGCTGCCAATGTGGTGTCGGAGGTCTTTGAGCTTTCGACGCGTCGAGATCTGATGCTGCTCCGGCTCGTGCGGCATCAGACGGTCACTTGTGAACAGAACACAGCGGCACTTTTTACATGCAAACCGAGTGGTGACCGACGTCTGCGCTGCTTGATCCAGGAGCTGCTGGTCGTCGCGGCAGGACGTTGAATCTACTGCGTCCATTCTTTTGATAGGGTGTGGCTCCTCTATAATAGCGTTGTCCATCTGATTCGCCAACCATCCGATATCGATTATCCAGCTGATCGTCAGATCTGTAGCCCAGTCCACTCGAAAGTTACTTCCATTTATTCGTTCCGTTTACAGTACGCGGTATACTTTTCGAACGCTAATGCCTCAAACGCTCCTCTGCGCCTCAATGGGTACCGTCGACACACACCTATCGTCTCTTCATGACACCCGTGTACATTGGCCATCGATAGCAGTATCGTCATGGGAATACACCACTTGCACTGCTCGACCCTCAAGCGGACAAGTCCCAATGGTTGACACAAGCGTCATTGCCAACCGACACGAGCTCCGTCTCGGACACGAAACCCACACCCGTGACGCCGTCCTTGTGCGAAAAGTCGAACACGCGCTTCTTCATGGGGCTGTTCACGTCCCAAATGTAGATGCGCTCGTCCAGTGAGCCACTGGCCACAAAGTCGCCGCTCGGGGCCCAAGCCACGCTCGTCACGCGCGTCGAGTGATAGACCCACATGCCCTGCACCTTGGCTGAACGAGACGCGACGTCCCACACGCGCACTTCACGGTAAGTGTCACCCGCAGCGAGCAGCGAGCCATCTGGCGAAAACGACACGGACGTCAGGGCACCCAGGTGTCCGACAATCTCACCGCTTTCGACAAGTGACGAACCATTCACCACGTCAAACAAGTGAATCTTCATGTCCTCTTGTGATCCAACTGCCACAAGGTCTTCTGACGGCGAGATCGCCACGCAAGTGGGCGTCCACGAGAACGTTGGCGTCTCAAACACCAACTTGTGGTCGCGCAAAAGCTTCACGCCCTTGCCCGTGCTGACCACAGCAAGACCAGACTCCGTGAGCGCCACGCCATTCGGCTGCGCGTTCAGTGCCTCAGCGGCGACGTACTCCATTCCGTTGGCAAAACGCAGCTGGTCGTCCCACCCTGAGCTAGCAATTTGGCTCGACGTGGCGGATATGCCCGTGATCTTTGCAGTATGGTGGGCGCCTACTAGAGTCGTGGCAGTCTTTGACGTCCACGAGCAAACAACGCCGTCGTAGCTGCCCGTAAGGATGCGCTGCTGCGATGGCTCTGTTGCGAGCGACAGGATACTCACCTGGTGACCCTGCACGACTTGTTTCGGCTGCGACGGGCTGTCCAGGTCCAGGAAGTTCAGGTCACCCGAGAGACTGAGCGAGATCAGATGGTTCTGACACCAGGCGACCGCCACTTGCATGTCTTTCACCTGTGGCTTCGAGCCACCAAACGTGAACTTTGTCACGACACTGCGGGACACAACATCCCAGAGCAGCACCGTCTTATCCGCCGACGACGTCAGCAGCTGTGTGCCATCCGGGCTCCAGCACACAGAGTAGATGGACGCCTGGTGTGCCGCTGGGAACTTGTCCACCAGCTCGCCGCTGCTGCCATCGTACAAGCACATGAGCTTGTCCGAGCCAACGCTGACTGCAAACTCGCCATTCGGCGAGAAGCGCACGCAATTGACAAAGTTGGCGTGCAGGTTATTGTTGTTCTGCTTGAACTTGAACGGAGGGCCTTCGTACACGCACACGTTAAAGTCCTCACTTGCCGTCATGATGCGAAAAGGACGCGTCGGACGGTAATCCACGCTCAGAATCCGCTTCTGGTGACCCACAATCTCGCCAATGCTATTGCCCGTATCGTACGTGAACACCCGTGCCATGAAACCACGTCCGTCACCCACGGCAACGATCCGCTTGCTCTCAGGGTCCCATGACAAGTCTTTGATTTCGCCAGCAAAGACCGGGACTTCCAACTTGAGCGTGTGCTCGGGATTGTCGTACGACCACACACGCACTTTGCCCGACACGTCACCGGACGCGACCCAATAGCCATTCGGCGAGAACTTGGCCACGGTCGTTGGCTCGTTGTGGCCCTTGTACACGAACGTATCGGTCGGGTCCTCCAGGTGCCGCACAATCACGAGCTTCCCACTGCAGTAGATAAGTTTGGGCTCTTTGGGGTGGACGCCCAAAACACTCGGAGCGCCGCGAGTGGTCGTTGGGTTCGGCCCAACGGTCGCCTGATAGAAACGGAAGTCGAGCATCGATAATGCACTGAATTAGTCTCCATCGAGTGGCATTCGATATTCAATATTGAAGGAAGTAGCTGCATATAGACCAATAGAGGGGTGAGGAGATGGAGGAGGGAGGACGTACCTTGAGAGCTGGCGGAGGCACCTTTTCCGTAGGGTTTGTCGGTGTATCCATCGCTCAACGAGAAGGAGAAGATGAGGGAGTGCGGAGTGATGCGAGCTGCCACGTGTCTGGGCGTGCGTTGCAGGGGAGGGGATATCCGCGAGTGCAACAACCCCTCGACATGATCGGTTTGGGTTCATCATCCGCGTGCACCACACCAGATGATCCCATCTGATGGGTACTTAATCCTACGCATCTATGCTGTAGCCCCGAGTGGGAGCATCTGGTGTGGTACACGCGGGTCTTGCAGGCGTGCGTCCGTCAGGATGGTCGTGTTTGACAAATCCCTCCGAGCTGAAGTGCACCGATTGCCGAGGAAGAAGAACGACCAGTCGGTTGGTAGCGGATCCCTTTTACGTGCGTACAAAGGAGCATGAGCGGTCTTGAAAGTAAGGACGTTGGCATCCAAACGGTCGGAAATGTCGGCCACGAGGGGTGAGGTCGGCGGCTTTCTGCGCTCGAACACCCCTGTGTGCTGTCGAAGTGCTGTGAATAAGCGCTTGAGGGGGTCAACCTGCAGTTTCTTCGCCCTGTGGTTTCGCCGTTCGACCAACCGACGTGTTCGCCGCTTCGGGCGACGTGGGTGGCCTTGTTATTCGATGTGAACTGCGGCGCTTTGACAGACAGTCAGTAGCGCATGACTCGGCTCGCTTATGTTCACGGTGCCAACGGTGTCGGTCGCATTGTCGACCTTGTTGTCATAAAAAGGGGACCGTTGTCCTTGTAATCGTCCTCTGTAGTGCATGTGCCCGACGCTCGGTGACTAAAGCTCTTGTACCTGCGATCGTGTGCCCAGCAAGTCACAAGCGCGACCCGCACGAACTTAAATTCGATCTCTTGTTGCCAAGTTACGACAATGGAAACGCGCATACACACACTGCGAGGAACTCCCCACGACTAGTGGTCCGTGACGCCTTTGTAGTGGTGACAAGCGTTGCAAGTCGTGTGTAGTGAGCCTGTGCGTGGTCGAGAAGACGTGATCAACGCATCGTGAGGGTAAACGCAAAACTGGCGCTGGCGACATGAACAGGTGTCCAGCAACGAACATCATGGGTTGACTACGATCGCTTGCACGTCGATCCTCATCGCAGGGAACTCATGCTAATGGTCGATCCAATTCCGGCCAGACGCCACTTGTACTCTTCGGTCGCACGGACTCCATCCTATCCGCTGTCATTCGCATCGAACGCAACGACGCCAATGTTTTTATCACCGGCAGCGACTAGACGATAACGAGTCGCAGCTGCCACCTGAGGCGTGTCGCCTCGAGCGGTGCAACAGTCAGAAGATGTAGCAAACGACTTTCTGGCGAACTAGCAAATGCCTGTCGTTGCACTCACCACAGCGCTGTCCTCGTCGAGACACTCACTACACATGCAGCTTTCACTCGTGCCCATTGCCTCTCATCACAAACTAATCAGATGATGAAAGAGGTTGTGACACTGCATTCGTACGGCCCCTAGCACTGCAGATAGTGCACGATAAGAGGCATGCGGGGCATTGGAAACAGCTGCTTCGACGGGCGCGTCCGGAGAGAAGGCGGCACGGATTGCAGCTATGCTATCAGCTCTTGATTGAGGACAGTAGAGACCTGGACGTGCGTCCGTATGAGAAGAAGCTGCACCATGTGGACGAATATGCGCAAGCGGTCCTGGGTCCGTTACTTTGAGTGCATGTGCAGTAGTGCTGAGGACAGAGCGACGTGGTGGCGAGCTGCGGCGATGCTGATCTATCTCGACTCTCTTCATCACTGCACGTCGTCGTCCATGGACCGGCAACTCTGCGAATATGAGGCACTTGCCGAACCGTCGAATCGCGTCAGTGCGTCCTACTTGACATGTTGCCCGGTGGAATGCAAAGAACATTACGTGCAAAGACTTGTGTGAGTCAATGTCGCGTGTCGAATACGACAACGTGCTGCGTGTTTCGGAACATCAGTTGGCAAATCGCAAACTGTCGTAGCTAAGTTGATGCCGTTCGGCTGGTTCGGCCTTGATACTGGACGTATCTTTGCTCGTCTACTGATCGGCAGACTGTTGCGGTGACCGTGACAGCAGCGTAGAGTCGATGGCCGCTCTAGCGAACAAGTCGATACCAAAGCACTCAAATGCAAGTACAGGCCGCATATCTAGCACGTTGGGTAGCTGTAAGGCGTGGCAGCTTCTTTTCTCGAGATACAGGATCGAAGTGTAAAAGGGTGATACTCAGGTCGATGCGAGACTAACGCTTGCACGGACACACTTTGATGCGACACCGATACTGTGACGTTGCCGACATGTGAGGAAGATGCAATGTGCTGATAAGTGAGTACCTGTGTTGATACGACGTCAGCAATAACGTGCTGGGCAAAAGGCAAATGAACAGATTGTTCGACAGCTTCATTTTCAGATGGTGCACCTTGAGAATCACCTTCGTACATGCGCATGTAAAGCCGGAAAATGATATCCAGAGCTGCAGCTGCACGACCTGAAGAAAGCCGACGCACTGTCGCCTATTGTCGTGGCTCAAAGTAGGCGGCCGGTTGACCGCGACATTGCAGTGTCAGTATATTTGCGTATCTTCAGACGTTAGAGATTGTTTCTATCTGTTTGTGCGAGTGTGAGTGAGTGTGCGTCTAAATATTCAAGAACAACTTCAAGGACGTGTCGCTTGCATAACTTCAATGATCAGATACAGTTTCTCTGTCCAAGCCAAAGCGAAGGACTAAGCAACAGAACAACGTCACGTTCGCAACTTGTGTCCAGTGCCTCGCTGTAGTACCCCAATAGCCACTCTGTTGGGTGCTCCGATTCAGTTGACGCCACATTCCCGTACACTCAACATCCATATCCACAGCCTCACGTGCACCTGCAGCAGCATCTTGAGTCTGCTGCAAGTCCAAGAGCCTATTGGCCTCTCACGTCGTACGTGAAGCTGCGTAAAAAAACGCGCGTTGGTGGATTTGCGCGACCATTTACAGTAATCAGTTTTCCACTCGAGTTGAAGCTCGAGGCAAAGACGAGTCCGTCGACCGTTTCGGTGGCTGAGCTGCATTTCAGCCTATCATCGTCGATGCCGGGATCCTCGCACGCCGACCGTGTCCTTAATGGTGTGCACCACGCACCCCTCCCCATACCGATATAACGGACGAAATGTGTTCAAAGAGGCGGTGCTGGACCCAACCCGAACGACTCGCACAAGTCGGTCCTCACTTGACCATTTGCAAGCGCCGCGTCAAGTCCGTCCCCTGTCTGCCGTCCACGGCGCTCGCTCGCTCGCTCGAAGCACTGGACGAGCTGCAGGACGACCCGACCTCAGCGCGCTCCTGGCTGGACCTGCCAAGTCCCCGTCCGGATCGACTGACGGTCCCGCTTAACGTGCCCTCTCGACGCCCATGTCCAGTACCTTTGCCTTTGGCCTTGCCAAGAACGGCGTCAATGCGCTCCCGAACGTCCGACGCGCAGCCACAGCCGCTCACATTAGTGACCGACTGTCGTCGCCGAGCTCTCTGGGCCACGAGGAGAGAGGCAGCACTGGTCCATGGAGCAGCCGCGACGACAAGACAGGGGGTCTCGTGATGATTGCAGCGCCGCGGGCTGATGGGCAGTTGAGGAAGCGCGGGACGTCTGTGGACAAGACGAACCCGTTCATCGGATACTTCCAGACAGGCAGCGACGTGACGGATTGTGAAGGGGCGGCACAAAGTGTGGACGTCGAGCCCGTGGCGTGCCCAGTGCCCGTCGTACCCACCCGTCGAGCTCCGAGTCGCACCCAAAGCAGTGCGGCGCTATCGTCGCTGTCGTCGCTGTCGTCGTTCTATCCGTCTGCACTCTTTACGCCTCGAGCGCAGCCGACAGAGTGGCAATGCACGCGTCTGTTACCGTTCTTTATGACGCAGCAAGATGCACCGCAAGAGTCGGTAGAGCAGCAGAAAGAGAAGAGACAGGAAGAGAAGAAGAGGCAGCAGCAGCAGCTGCAGCAGCAGCAACAGGAACAGAAGAAGCGTGCAGCGTTTGTAGAGTCGTTGAAGCTCGAGACGTCCGTGCTTGCAGGTGGATCTGGCACGAGCGGATGCACGAAACGGGGAAAAGCAGCCGGTTGTATCAATGGAGCGATCGGATATGATGCTCGATGCTGTGTCGGCAACGCAGTCGCAGCTGAAAGCCAAAGCCTCGACGTCAGTAGTGACAGCTGGTCGCATGTCTGTACCTCAGGCGGACTCGCGCACGTTGGGTTCGCGCTTTGAGCAGGACTTTGAGGTTATGGGGTCTTTAGGTGCAGGAGGTCAAGGCTCTGTCTACAAGGTGCGCAGTAAGGTGGACGGATGCTACTACGCGATCAAAGAGGTGGTCCTTCCCCGCGCCACCGAACTCGATGCGAAGCGCGCAGAAAGCCAAGCGTTGCGTGAAGTCCGTTTGATGGCGTCCATGGCTCCGCATTCGAATGTGGTTCGCTACCACACAGCTTGGACAGAAGTGCATGCATACGCTCCCCACGTCACTTCGTCGATGGGAAGTGTCCGCGGGTCCACCGCTTCGTTGCTGGAGAGTGACTGCAGCTCACAGGACCTTCGCTGTCAGCAACTAGAAATGCTGGACGAAGAAGCCGAGATGCGCGCGAGCGGCATCGAGTCTGCGGATCACTCGTTCTCGCTCGACTATTCGGTGAGTAGTTCGCTCAGTTGTGACGAGCGCTCGACTCCTGGGTTCACGTTCGAAGACGAGAGTTATGACAGCGGCTCGGTGGGCTTAAGCTTTGAGGACGAGGCGTCTTTTGGTCAGCTGGGTGAACTGCAGAACGAGGTAAAGCTGGCTTCTGCTGCTGCTACTCCTTTTGCTGCAGAGCCGATTGGCATGAAGTCGCAGGTGATCTTGTACATCCAGATGGAGTTGTGTGGCACAGCAGTGGACTCAGTCGCTTCGTCCCGGACCATCCGTGATAGCCACGAGCCACTTTATCGCATTTTACACCAGCCGGAGACGCCGCAGCAAGACCGTTTGCAGTTTCGCGAAGAAACGCAGTCAAACCTAGGGGCGTGGCTTCGTTCGTCCCTTGAGAAGCGTTTGTTGTGGTCTGACGCGCCCGAAATACACCTAGAGGGGCTCAAGTTGTTTCTCGGTGCGGTCCAGGGCGTTGCTCACATGCATTCGTATGGTGTGATCCACCGTGACCTGAAGCCGGACAATATCTTCATCCACGGCGATGTTGCAAAGATTGGCGATTTCGGTCTTTCCAAGTCGGTTTACGCAGACAGCACGACGGACGGCGTTGTATCCCCTCGTGAGTTTCTACGGGAGTCAGGGCTCAGTGATGGTGACCATACGACAGCTCTCGGCACGTTTACATATGCATCACCCGAGCAGTTGGGGTACCGCCTCGAGCAGCAGCAATGCACTGAAGAATGCTGCAACTCGTATGAAAGGCGCTAAGTACTCGATCAAGTCGGACATTTTTGCACTGGGCGTGATCTTGCTCGAACTGTGTTGCCCTTTCAGCACGGTGATGGAGCGTTCGCAGGTTCTGACTGGTGTGCGCCACGGCGTTGTGCCTCAGAAGCCTCGACAGCACTTTCCGATGGAGATTGATTTGGTCTTGCGCATGACATCGATTGATCCTAGCGAAAGACCTACCAGCGGAGAGGTTTGCGAGCAATTACGCAGAATCATAGCCGCATCAGGCGCCATGGTTACGCCAGCATCAGCCCTCGAAGACTTGCGTGAGGTCCAGCTGAAGCTCGCTGCGGCAGTTCGCTTGATGCGCGACCGCTCGAAAGCTACTCTGTTGCTAGAGGCATTGGTGTCCGAGATGAACGAAAAGGTCCAGAACGTGGGCGTTGCTCTCGCCTGAGAAAGTCAAGTGACGGGTCTTGGAATGTGGACGGAAGGCAGAGGTGGAAGGAAGGACATTGCAGTGTGAAAGCAAAAAACAAGAAACGGGAACAAAAGCAAAGCAGGCGCGAGGCAGCAGCTGGTGGATGACCGAATGGAGGGAGACCAGCAGGCTAGTTGGTGGCCTCATCACTGAATGCGTTTGGCATGTATGCGCAAGTGAAAGAAGGAGCGCCATGTGTGCGGTACTATGTAAAGTGATCCGCGAGAACGGCGCGAACGTAAATAAAAGGTCAAGCACATACTGAGCAGTGCGCTGTACTATATGTTACATGAGCGGGTGGATGTCGGTCAATGGCAAAAGCGTCATGTTCACAACGATATACAGCAATACCCTTTGGCTAAGCATCATCTACTTGCGATTGCGTCGAGACTATCATTGGCCTCGCTCGATATATCGATCAGCTGATGCTGGGTAAGGCATTAAAGAAATGGTATTGCTGGTCTTGGTCAAAGACGCCCACCATGGTGCCGCAGTCCGAGCACACCACCGAGAAAAACTCATCAGCTTGTAACAACCTCGCAATCTCTCGGCCTGGTGTGGAAATAGCTGCTGTGTCGCCATCACTTGTATTTGCACTCTTCCGCATGTGGAACGGCATTGATGCAGGTGCGGAACTACCGCTCGATGCATAAGTGAGAATATCGTCCCGCTTCACACGACAGTTGATCGCGGCAGTGGCTCGATACTGATTGGTATAGGTGACGTGCCTGTTTTCCATCAGCAGCATACCACAATGTCTTCAGTAACCTGCTTCAAGCCACCATCAACACCGTTTCACCCCAATCACGCACCTCTCGCAGACCATACACACTGTCAAGAAACAACACGGACAACACAGCGTAGCATCCGTCTCGGGTTGCGTCGATCGAGCTCCATCTACATCCACACACGCAACAGCATGTGACTTAGTGCGTGCGCCGTTCTCTCTTCCTCGTTCGCCTCACCCATCAGCAGCAAAAAACGTACTGAAATGTGTTTGTACCCACAGCTTGTCAGCGTCGTCGAGCTGCTCGTCGTACAGCGGATCTGGCTCCATTCCATACCGCTCGTCCTCGTGCTCATCACTCTCATCGTCTTCGTTTCTCCTCTCGTTTCGGCCACCAACAGGCCGTCTTCTGCCCAGATTCTTCTTCTCTGGAGCACGACTTTCCACCTTATCAACCACCGGAGCTGGCGATGCCTTCAGTACATCGTCCTCCTCGTCCTCCTTGTCCTCATGTCCTACTACGCTCTTCTTGTCGTGCTGCTTTGCAAACCTGAATACAGCTTCGCCACTGCTGTAGCCACCTGAAGCAGCATCCAGTGCGTCTTGCAACTGCGTTTTCCGTGTAGTATAGAGCGCCAACACTCTCGCCGAGACGTTTGGCTCGCGCTCAGGTCTGTTTTTAATGGCTCTGACAGCACTCGAACCAGTAACAGTACTCTGATTTCGCGTCGCTCGTGGCCTTTTGTCTGCGTAAGTGGTACCGTGAAGAGAGCCACTAATAGGAGTGAAAACGGTCCATCGAGACGCCATCGAACTCGAAGACGCAAAAGTAGAGCTCAACTCTTCGACGGAATCGTCGAGTGACGCTGATGGAGATGGGACCTCGTCAACGTCGCTCGTGGACTCGTCACTGGGAAGAAACGCGAGATAGTCGTCCGTGCTGCTGGTGTACGCTGAGAAGGCGACGTCGTCGGTCGACATTTGTGGTGTCCGTGCGCAGCGTCAAGCAGTTAAGAAGCAGCGCGAATGGCATGGACCAAAACGACCTGATGTCATATTGCTCTGTAGGTATGACGTGGCATACCGTAAGCATAACGATCGAGCAGAACAAGCATACCGCAAGGATACCGACCCAGCCTTTGACATACGTGCTATGTCGCGGTCGGGGTCATAACCTGAGGTGCGGAATGTCCTAGCTGATACGGGCACGGTGTGCGCTATGCCCGAGCTGCGCTATTTCGTTGACAAACGTATGTAAGTTTGTCTATGTGTATGTATGTATGTATGTATGTATGTATGTATGTATGTATGTATGTATGTATGTATGTATTAATGTATGTGTGTATGTGTGTATGTATGTATGTATTTATGTATGTATGTATGTGTGCATGTATGTCCACTCTGTCTGGAGTTACTTTTGTCTTGTGCTCATTTTGATGCAAATTACATTATTAGCCATCTCGTCGAATCGACCATTGGTAAAAACTGTTCGCCGCACAAATGAGCAGCGATCATTTCGATACACAGTGTCAAGCTGATCTAGCTGTAACCAGCTTCAACGTCACGTTTGTGGATGCTTTAGGTCACGCAAGAGCTTCGATTACAAACAGCTCACTGTTATTATGTTATTGCTCCGAGTGCGACAAGTGCCGACTGAAGGACGAACATGTTGTCTGCAATCGGGTGCATGAGCTCGGGCAAGACAACAGTGAGTGATATAAGTGGTCTAAGGCATCCGTTATGAAGGCGCCTTACTCCCGAGACGTGCTCGCGTTTCTCACTTGCGCTAGTTGCTTGCATTCTTTTGAAGGCGTTCTTTTGGATGCCTCTCTTCAGATGTCGTTGCAGATCTAATACTCGAGCAATTCGGGCCCATGTTAGCTCAGGACTGCTTGCTGTACACAGTCATAGTGCGGGAGCATCCATTGACGTCAGTAACACAGACCGAGTAAAGGTAGACATCGAAGAAGCAAACGAAGTCGACGATGTGAGACCGCGTATACGTTCCTGATAGACATGCAAAGCCGTCCTCATCGCAGCCATATCGAACTTACCTCGTTCTGCATCACGTCTCAATGGCCCTGAGGGTGCACTTAGTCGCTGCACTAGGTCTCTGCGCTAGTCCTATTACTGATATGGTTCGTAAACGTGGTCGATCCGAAGGTGTAGGGATACACTACTAGCAAAGCTGTACTGCTACTCGTTGCAGCCTACACGAACACAAGATACCGTTGATATATGATTGTGTCGCATGCAGACCACGTTCTTGTTATGGCGTACAAGTCCCAAGATCAACACGGCGGAGCAGCAGGATAAAGCTTTTCCTCGCACTTGTCGGAGTTGACCGTCTGCATGTACAAAGAAGTAGTACGGTGAAGCAGTCGACACAATGTGTCGCTCAGATGTGCCTATGATAACGAACGGGAACGATGTTGAAGTCAAAATTCCATATGCATCTCTATTAGGAACTCCTATGAAAACTGTACGAAAGCTGTATACACGGGACTGCAGTTGACATTGGTGGTCTGCAGCTCTCCCTCGAATCGACACTGTTTGTCTACTGCAACGCCAGCGCGACGGTGGCAGCAACACAGTAGGCGACAAGCGAAAGAGCGTAGGCACCTGAGGCGCCGTTTGAGCCAGCAGGTCTGATGATAGTAGGCGGGTCGTACGATTCCGATCCAGAGCCACTATCACTTGGGACCTCGATGGAGCCACTGCCGGAATCCGACTCGTTGCCTGTCTTTCCTGTGAGGAAACTAGCAATGAGTGTTCCAAAGTTGACGCTGACGCCCTCGATCGTAACGTTGCACTGGGTCTCTTGGTTGGCCACCTGGTTCACCTGGTTCAGGTAGTTGGTGCAGTCGACGTTCTGCGAGAGATCCGTGACCTGCTCCAGCGTGGGGAACTCACTGACTGAGAAGATGTCGATGCCCGTGGCATTCTGGCAATTGGCGAGCCCCTTGGTCGCGTTCGAAAAGAGCAAGCCCTGGATCTCGCCCATGTCACATTTCGTGGCGGCCGAGTGAGCGACGGCAGCGGTCAGAGCGAAAGTGGACAGGAAGGCGGTAGTCTTCATTGTTTAGAATTGGGAGCTGGTAGTGGGGTGCGGGAGATGAGCGAAGTTGGAAAGTGAGAAGAGCAGAAGTTGTCGCTGTCTTTGCGTCAAGGTCAAGAAGAGAGGCCGAGGCAGTCGTGGTAGCCGGACAACAACGTATACGCTCGCGAAGACATGGACCGTTTTGAGACGACAGCTCGTCTCGGGGTGCTGTAACCGTGAGCTCTTTACGGTCGAGAGGGAGGTGTCGTTTACGTTTCTCACTTTTTCGTCGGTGAAACACACACTCAGACGGCTCCTCTTGGCCCTTTGTACGAGCGCACGCTCTCTGTCAGCATAGTAACCACGACTTCTCCGGCGACCAGAGAGATGAGCAGATGAGTGACCACGCGCGACATTGTGCTAAGTGAGTCATTCAAGTCTGACGCCCTTGATAGCGTAACGACCACAAATGGCTCCTCTTGACCTCTACAGAAGTGAGAGCTTGCTTCGCTCTATCAGTAGAGTGACGATGATTTCTCGAGAGTCCCGAGAGAGGAGAGCATTCGCGACATTAGCAAATGCGAGTCGTCTAAGTTTGTGATGCGTTCGTTGGTAGATGGTACTCGCGCGACTCTTGCTGACCTCTGAACTGAACTTGCTCTGCTTTCAGCTAAGTCGTGATGACCTCTCTAAGGTCTAGAGAAAAGTCAGCGTTTGCGACGTGACCAAATAGGGAGTCCTGCAAACTTGACACTACTTTATGGCAAATGTTGTCAAGAGACGCCTCGCTCGACGACAGAATAACGATCGGCCACTTCGACATAGTGACCGTGTAATGTACACCCAAGTAGGCTCAGAGTAGCAAAGGAGCATGTGAACCAGAGGACCTTGCTCGAATCACTTTGCATCTTGCATCCTACCAACCAAGCGTCTCTACATCACTCTGTAAGCACAATCTTGCTAATTTCTGCCTCCGGCGACGCCCAGCTACCCCGCCATGGACTCGTGAACGCCCGCATGAACAAGTTCGGTGGAGGAACTTCATGCGCGGAAATTGAAGATGCAGATGGTGCTCGAGGAACACGACATAATAAGGGCGTTTGACTGCGGAATGTTTACATCGAGCTAACTCTAACAACGCTGGATCAAGCAGCGTTCGAGCTTATATCTAGCAACGCGACGGCTGTCACCTTTCTGGCGATGGAAGGTTTGCAGGTCCCCGTTGGTTCGCCAGGTGGGTCGCGCATTCGATGCATGGGCAAAGTTGAAAGACCCATCGAAAAAAGAACCTTGCAAGCAAGCCCTTTCTTCGTCGTCGTTTCATCACAAACACGATGGACAAGGCATGAAGTGCTCGATTACACCGAAAAGCACAAGACGTATTCGAAGCTGCTTGACGCAGTAGTCACTTTGGTCATCGAAGATGAATTGGCGGTCTTGCTTCTCGGCAGCCTAAATGAGCTGTATCAGTTACTTCCTACGGCGTCAATAGTCGTTTGCCGACACGCCGACGTGTGAACTCGTGACGTCTTGACTGCTCCATGAAGATCCGAAGCGCAGCCAACAAGGTAGTAGCGACGATGGAGTCACGCATAGTCATGACCAAGCGTTTATGACTAGCAATTACGGCAATTACGAAGGAAAACGTCTGCCAGCATTTGCCACTCTGTGGCGGATAAGTTTGTCGGATAGCCAAGTGTTATGTGGGTATTCAGGGAAAGCGAAGCGGCATCGGCCACGTCGCGAAAGAGTAGCACATGCTGCATAAAAAACGGGACGACTACCTATTTTCAGTCGGTAGTGGAGCTGCTAAGGCGAGTCAAGTCTGGCTGGACGACCCAACCGCAACGCAGCAGATGACGTACTCGAGCATTCGCATGAAGTGCTCCGACATGTCTTGCCGGAGGTCGTTCATACGCGGACAACGGCTCGCAGTGGCAACATGCAACATTTTCTTGTCAACGGAGAACGAGCATGGGTTGAGAAGGGCGTAGCTAGCAGTGTATGTTATACCCACGATATTACAACACCAATTCTTAGTAGGTCGCTTAACAAAAGATACTGGCTCTGCCACGTCCAAAAACGACTAGTACTTCGCCGCAGCGAAGGCCATGACATTCAAATTGGGTTTGCGCACTAGCAACAGTCTGTTTAAGCTGCGCATGACCTCGCTCCCACCTGATGCGACAAATGTGCCAAGCCTGACGAGTCTTACAAGGACTATACGTCGTACTTCTGGCACATTCGGCTTGGTCGCATCGTCCAGGGCAATTTAGAACCCATGGTAAAAGAGTTCTTTGATTTCAGTATCGACATCACGTCGTCGAACTAGTCGTAGATGTGCGGTGGGTGAGCATTGGTAAGCAGCGCGTGAGAATTTTATGCCAAACTCGCCAACTCACGCGAAAGGATGTTTAAATTCATCTTCGCACTGACTTTTGCGGCCTACCGGAGCAAAAAACTCTTGCTGACAGTCGATACTTCGTTACATTCATTGACGGGTACGCTCACTTCTGTTTGGTGTACTTGCTGCGGAAAATTCTGTAGGGTGGAGGCCTTCGCCGATTTGCCACCTTCGCTGAGCCTAACACAGGCAATTGTAATGGTGGTACACTGTAAGTGATACATCCATGGGCAAGGTACGTGCACCATGTGGCGTACGACTCATTAAATCAATGTGTGTTCATCCATCAAGGATAAGTTTCCGAATTTACTCGAGTATAGGGTAAAACCTTACAATGCAATAAATATGCAGGATGTATCTTCGTGTAATAAATGCAATAAACATTATGTAGGGCATGGATGTGTAAGATACGTGCCTTATTTTGGCGTCTTTGGTCACTAAAATGTGAAGCTTTGTTAAGACATATACTCTTTACCGCTTTGTGTTGTTGATTCCCTGAATTAGAAGTTTTGGTACCATAACCAGAAACTCAGTGGG